TAAAACTACACACATGCATTGCACTTTCTTGCCCCATACATCTTTCCCCTATTCCACATTAAACTTTTTCTCACTACTTCCTTGAATTTATTAAAATAACATTTTCAGTTGCATGGCTCTTTTAAAGCAATGGTCAGAATGACATCTGCAATCGGTGATTGGATCACAACTGAATCACATCACAACACCAGAGCAATAGCTATATATTTTCTGTAGTTTGTGAAAAGAAAAGTGGACTACGAGGGCAGAGACAGAAAAGCCCAGATCTAGTGATGTAAATATATAAAACTGTAAATACATAAAACAAGCAGAGGACCCACAAGAACCTGTGGGGGGGGGGATCTCATTTTCACCTCCTCCATCTCCTCTTTCTCTTCCTTGAAAGCCCCTACGGCCTCTTCCCTATTCCTGCTTCGTTCTCTCCTTCCCACCCACTAGCCAACCTACCTTTATCAGCCTATCTTCAGCTTCCACTCCTTCCCTCTCCTTGACAGCCTCTCCCTGGAAAAGTATGCCAGAGTTGTGTGGCACTGGCCACCAGGCTGGCCCAGTTGCACAGTGGGGAGCCTGCAAGGATTTTCAGGGAACACCTCACTTCCCTTAGTGTCTCTCTCCCCACACTATTTCCTCTTTGGCTCCTGGGGAACTTTGAAGTAGCACCAAAGCTTTAAGATCTCTCCAGCTGTCACCTGGAGACTGGCAACAGCTTGTCTGGAGTGTGGGCAGCATGGCATTGTATCTGTCTGAGGTCCCCCTCTTCCTCCTCCTCCTCAGATCCCCCCTCAGCAGGCTTCATCCCTAAAATATCCTGGAAGTTTCCAACCTGGAGTTGGCAACCCTATGTCCTGGAGTTCCAACCTGGAGTTGGCAACCATCAGCCAACCTTTATCTGTCTGTCTGTCTTTACACACACACACCCCACAGCCTCTGCCTAGGGAGCAGCTGACATCATTCTCCTCTCCCAACTGAAAATTCCAACTGCCTTGCGGGGGGGGGGGGAGTTTGAGGTGTGGAATGGAGTGCAGTCCAATCAGCTTCCATATGTAAATGACCTTGGAACGCTGGGCGGGACTGCACAAAGCAGCCAGTCAACCCAGCCAGTGTATTCTGAGTGGCAGTTTTTCCGGCCTAACACTAAAGGAGTGCATTTTAGAACTTTGGCACCCACTATTCAATTATATATAAGGAGAGATACTCATTTATTTATATCTGCCTTTCTCCCTCAATGGGGACCCAAAGCAGCTTACATCATTCTCCTCTCCTGTACTTTAGCTTCACATCAAGCCTGTGAGCTAGGTTGTGCTGAAAATATGTAACTGGTCCAAGGTCACCCAGTGAGCTTCCAGCTCTCCCAGATTGCAGTCTGAAACTCTAACCACTATACCACACTGGCTTGGGGGTGGGGGGCTGCTGCTGAACAGAAGCAAGTAGCCAGGCCTGGTTGAATCATGCAAGTTGGGTGGTAGCAAATCACAAGGAACCAATTGCTGCTTAGCCTTGCCCCAATGAGTTCTCTCTCAGGCCAAAACAGCCTTCTCCCTACTTTTTACCGACAGAAACCAATGTCTGAAGGCTGGCAATACTGTTTTGTTGCCTAGCAATGACCACTGTGGGTATCCACTTCTTAAATCTACAGGTGCTACTTCTATTATTTTGGAGGATTTAACCTACCAATGGTGGGGGGGGGGGGAAGAGGGTGGATTTTTCTGTACACCCAGGGCGTTTTACAGGTTTGCAGAAAGATGTCTTGTCATGGCTCCAGTCTTCAAAGTTAAGGATTCACAGATCTGGCTACACAGAGAATTAGCTATATCAATTATACTGTTTAAGCAATGGACTCTGTAATGCAAGTTGGGGGCTAAAAGTGTGTCCTGGGCATAGTTGAATTCCCCTTTCTAGAGTGAAGTAAAGAACTCTGATATACTATGTAATGAAGCAGTAAGAATTGTAGACAGCTGTGCTAGTCTGGTCCATAAAAAATCCAAACAAAACAATCATGTATGTGACATCCTGCTTACTGGGGAGACTATTTCTCCTTTAAAACACACTCTGTGTACAAGAACTTAGTAGATTTCTGCTGCCACCAGGAATTAAAAATTCCAAATCTCTCTATTTTGGTAGAATGACCCTGTGTCTGGGCACTTCAGAGGACTATGTGGCCCTGAGAAAGGACTGTTCTGATTGCTGGGATAAATTTAAACAAATAATGATTTATTTATAAAAACAAAATAGGTTTCTGGGTATTTTTGAACTGTTGTTGAAGAAAGGAAATATAACTGACAAAGCTTGGCATCACACACAGTCTCTCCTACACCAAAACTCAACTCTGACAGGTTTATCTCTCTGATATATAGTCACACAAGCTACACTCTCTTGCTCATAGCCACACAGGCTAAACTCTCACATATATCCACACAGGCTAAACTCTCTCGCTCATAGCCACACAGGCTAAACTCCAACGGCTTCCTCTGTCATACAGACAATCTCCACACTCCTCTCTTCAAGAACACAGAATCATCTCAGAGATATCTCTCCTCCCATACTCTCAGTCATCAGTCAATCACATCACACTTCTCTCCCTCTATCACTCTCATTACATTACTGCAGTTGCAGTAAAGAAACACACACACCAAAACATGAAATCATTACAATGTAATTGACAGCCAGTATAGTATAGTGGATAGAGTGATGGACTAGAATTAGGGAGCCCCACTTTCAAATCCCCACTCTGCCATGCAAGTTCACTGGGTGACCCTGGGCCAATCACAGACACTCATTTTAAACTACCTCACAGAACTGTTGTGAGGATAAAATGGAGGCAAGCGGAACGATGTAAGCTGCTTTGGGTCCCCAGACTCCCCACTGAGGAGAAAGGTGGGGCATCTATGAAGTAAGTAAATTAAATAAATAAATAAATAAATACCTTTTCCTTAGGAAAAGCACAAACATCACAAAACAGAGATTCACATCTCCAAAATGTAGTTACACACTATATGATCAATACAAATGAACAAAAAGGAGTGGGGGAAGAATAGGTGTTTTAGGGCATAATAAAGAAACTCCTGTGTTTCTAATTGTTATATAAGAAGATGTATGGAAGAGCAATTTTTCAAGACATGCTTCATTTTTCCACTTTAAACTTGAACAGATGCAAGAGCAGGCCTTCAACTCTAGTTTTTATTGCCCCCCCCAGTCTTTTTTGCCTCCTACTGAAGCTCAAAATAGTTCTCATGACTGAAGTTTTACTATATTTGATTACTAGAGACATCTGCTTATACAAGAACAAACTCTGACAGCTTGCCATACACGTGTGCAGTATACCTTCAATTGTTCTGCCAAAAAAAAAGCTTGTATCAATGAGCCCAGCATAAAAATGGCTAAGGTTTAGATTTGAGTCCAGTAGCACCTTAGAGACCTTAGAGATGACTTGGCCACGCAACGGTCACCTCGAGGCTAGACTACTGTAACGCTCTCTACATGGGGCTGCCTTTGTCACAGATCCGGAAGCTGCAGCTGGTGCAGAATGCAGCAGCCAGGCTGTTGATGGGTCTCTCTAGGCGGGACCACATCCAGCCTGCACTGAAGGCGCTGCACTGGCTGCCAATAGCGTACCGAGTCCACTTCAAAGTGCTGGTTCTTATCTAAAAAGCCCTATATGGCCAGGGTCCAGCTTACCTAAGGGACCGCCTTTCCCCATATGTTCCCCCAAGGGCACTACGGTCTGGGGCAAAACATCTTTTGGCTGTACCAGCATCCAGAGAGGTTAAATATGCTGCTACAAAGGCCAGGGCTTTTTCGGTGGCGGCTCCTATCTGGTGGAATGAACTCCCGGAGGAGACCAGGGCCCTGTGGGACCTGATGCAATTCCGCAGGGCTTGCAAGACAGAGCTCTTCCACCAGGCTTTTGAGTGGGAGCCGCCACTGTCACTATACCACCACCGCGTTGCAATTGGGAACGGAGAACCAACATGGGAAGATCAATTAAGAATGAGACAGTAGTACCACCTGAAACATTGTATCAGAGCCCCTGCCTTGGATGGATGTACTATGTGAGCACTGATTTTATATGTAACTTGAAATTTGATGGTTTTACTGATTTTACTGTTTGTATGGCATTGCCTCTTGTTAGACGCCCTGAGCCCACAGTGGAAGGGCGGGATATAAGTCGAATGAATGAATGAATGAATGAATGAATAAAAGAGCAAGATTCCAGTAGCACCTTTAAAGACTAACAAACTATGTGGCAGGGTATGAGCTTTTGTGAGTCACTGCTCACTTCTGAAGTGCTACGGGACTCTTGCTCCTTTCTACTGCTACAAACAGACTATACCCAGATTTTCTGGGTATAAGCGCTGCCTTTTATTACCCTGTTTATTCTTAGAACCACTTTTATAATTATCTCAGGAAAATGGCTCAATGCTCCAAAAAAGAATACAATTGTCTCAGTTCTACCTTACAACACGAAAACAGTTGCGTCAAGTTTCATAAGATCCAGATGCACATTCCAACTGTTAATTAAGTCCACTTTTGTGGAAACGAGATCAAAAAGTTCCTGCTCATCCTAGCGTGGACTTCTGGGCGTTTTCTGACCTCTTTCCCCATTATCACCCGGTAATATCAGAGACAGACTGTACATTCGCAACATATTTTCAGCTGTAGGGGGTCTGGCATAGATGGTATCCGGTCTCTACTAATCAGCGTATATACCCACAGGGAATTCAGAACTACCAGCCTGCAGAGCTAACAGCCCAATTCTACTCAGAAGCAAGACCTGCTACGTTCCGCAGGGCTTACTCCCAAGAAAGCATGCGTGGGATTCCAGTATAAGGCAACCCCAACCGCCCGTGCCCGTGCGAATTTTCCTAAGCAGTGCTGAATTCAAAGCGGCTTGCTTTTGAGTAAGCAGGCATCGACCGGGGCTGCATGGAAGGACATCGCTGCTCCACCGGGGGAGGGGAGGGGAGGGGAGGGGGAGTCACGCACGCCGCTGCAGCAATTACCAGTCCTCGCCGGCCCGCTCCGTCCCTGTACTTCTGCCGGCGACGAAGTTCCTTTTTCCGTTACTTCCCTCGCTGCTCAGGGCTCCGGGTATCATCCCAAATCCCCCGCCAACCACAGAGAAGAGAACGGGCCGATCGCCTTCCATTACCATAGAGTTTCTTCCCGGCAGGCTAGAGCGTCTTTCCCGGCAGGCTAGAGCGTCGTAGCCGGTGCCCGCACTACGGTTGCCTAGAAACCAGGCCTAGTAACCCTCGATAACCTTTCTCCAGCTGCCAGCCAATGCATCCGAGTTGAGCGTCCAGCCTTGCCGCCGTAGCTCCTCCGTTCCTTCTTTTCTGCTTGTAACGCCGTCTAAACCGGACCGTATCGTTCCATTGCCCCGTACCCATCCCAGTTTTGACCGCAGAACCACTAACATGGATTAGGAACTCGAGCTATGAGATAGGATTGCGATTTCGAGAGGGGGCACGTTTTTATGGACCACTTTTATTACTTGCTAATAAAAATAACGACAGGTATTGCTTAATACGTTTCGTGTTTGTTTTTGCAAAGTAACAAAACAGTAAAATTCATGATACCCTGAAATGCAATATGTTCCTTTTATTGTATCACAGTTAACCAAAATATTATTTTAAAAATTAAATATACTGTTTTCAATACTTCCTTGCATTAACAAAGTAGTAACTCTCACACTATATGAATTATATTCTAATACTATATTAATGATCTGATTTGGAATGTTATATCACCTTTAACCAAACCTGAGAAAAAAGTTGATAGATTATCATTGCTTCCACTGATATAGGCCTGATACATCAAACTTTTTGGCTTCAGCTACAGAGAGAAGATTTGTCATACATTTTTTATTCTCTGGAACACTTCTTGCCTCCAATCCTTTGGATAATTTTTTCACTGCCATTAATAATTTCAAAAACATTTGTCATTTATCCACAAATCTGATAACATACACACAGAAAGAATTTACCCATACTCTTCTTTCATCCAAGTACAGTGATCTCATAAATACGTTGCATGTTAGGCATATTCTCCAACATTTCACATGTGAAAAGAGGGATCTGCTCATAGCACCCTTGGGCTCATACAAAGGATCATTACCTGAGACCCCTCCACACTTTTATACAGGACTGAAAGTTCTCTACCTAGTCTTAGGTATGTTTCTGTAAGTCTGTAACAATCTGCTCCCATCACTGATTTAAAAGTCAAGATAGTGTTTGTTCCTTAAAGACATATTGTGCAGGGGGGAGGCTATTTATCTATTTCATATATAATTCACTTTTATCCCCAGAGTGATTTACAACATACTCCCATTTTCCATTTTAACCCCACAACAACCCTGTGAGGTTGGTTAGACTGACAGTATGTGACTGGCCCATCATCTCCCAGTTGGGTGGCCAGCTCCAAGTTAGGAAATTCCTGGAGATTTGGGACCTTGGGAGGTCAGGGTTTGGGGAAGCAAGGGAACTCAGTGGGGTATAAAGCCATAGGGTCCACCCTCCAAAGCAACCATTTCATCCAGGAGAACTGATCTCTGTTGTCTGGAGAGTAGTTGTAATTTTGGGAGATCTCCAGGCCCCACCTGGAGGCTGGCAACCATATCTCCAAGCAATCTACCATGAAAGAGTGGGGATTTGAACCCAGGTCTCTCAGATACTAGTCTGCCACTTTAACCACTACACAACTATACTCTTTCACATTTCACACAATAGCTCACCAACTTCCCTATATGAAAATGTGGACTATGCAGCACATGGTGATTCAGTGCTTATGGACACATATTTATATGCATGCGTACCTCAGGTGTTGCATCAGCCCTGCACACCTTGGAGATTTAACTACTAGGGAGTCTGAGATTTGAATTCTAGAGCTGAACCCTAAAGGGTGATAATGCCAGCAACTCATATTAATAAAATGTTAACAAGTCATCCCGAAAGACAGAAATCAGGACCAAGAGGGACAGTGCCCAAGTCAGGAAATGAAAGACAGGAATTCTTCATGGAAAACAGAAACATTAGAAGAGTACATTAAAGGATGTTAAGGATTTTGGGGCTAGCACAAGTGTGACTCAGGTTCAAATCCCTTGTCATGAAATTCTTAGTGACGTTGAGCCAGGCATTTTTTTACATAAGAGAAGCCAATGTTGGATCAGGCCAATGGCCCATCCAGTCCAACACTCTGTCACACAGTGGCCAAAAATACCAGGTGCCATCAGGAGGTCCACCAGTGGGGCCAGGGCACTAGAAGCCCTCCCACTGTTGCCCCCCCAAGCACCAAGAATACAGAGCCTCACTTGCCCCAGACCAAGAGTTCCTATCTATACCTTGTGTCTAATAGCCACTGATGGACCTCTGTTCCATATGTTTATCCCATTCCCTCTTGAAGCCATCCATGCTTGTAACTGCCACCACCTCGTAACACAACTTACCTTGCAGGACTGTTAGGAGGACAAAATGAAGGCAGGAAAAATGATGTATGCCACTCAGAGCTCCGTATTTGTTTCAAAAAATTCGATGTCACCTTTTTCCCAAATAGAGAATTGAAGATGGCCAACCATGGCTGGGGGTGTGTGTGTTCAAGTTAATAAATGACAGCATCTTTGTGTCTTTCAAGAAAACATTAAAGGTATTATAGTGTTCAAAGTAATCTTTATCATAAACTCAACAGCTTTACTACCATAGGCATAACACCAATGAATGTAGCAAGTTTGTAGAGACAGGATCTACAGTGCCCTTCAGAACAGGTACTCTGACCAAAAGGCAAGTTGTAACAAATGGTGCTCAGTCACTCAAAGAAAACAGCAAGTCAAAATGTTAACTCAAAGATGCAGGGCTTCTTCCCTGTTATACTCCCTGGAGATCATCCTCTGACTCCTGTTCTTGATTCTTGATTCTCTGGCTTGGACCTGCAAAGAAATCTGTGATTTCCTCAGTCAGGCTCTAGACTTTCTCTCCCCTGCTCCAGGCCAGACTGACACATAGGGTTGCCAGGTCCTTGCACTGCTCTTGGGGGGGGCATTCCAAGGTGGGCAGGGATGTCACTCAACATCCCCAAAGCTGCCATTCCAATACGAGAACACATCTGCTGCCCCTGAGGCTGTCATTGCACTCCGGGAGGTGTCAATCCAGTCCCACAACACTTCTGCTACTTCCAGAGCTTGTCATTACACTCTGGGCCTAACATTCCAGTACCAGAACACATCTTACACCCCCAGGCGCTGTCATTCCACTCTGGTGCCTGTCATTCCAGTCCCAGAAGACATCTGATACCCCCAGTGACTGCCATTCCACTCTGGGGCCTGTCATTCCAGTCCCACAACACTTCTGCTACTCTCAGGGGCTGCCACTACACTCTGGGGCCTGTGATTCCAGTACCAGAACACATCTGATACCCTCAGGGGCTGCCATTCCACACTGGTGTCTGTCATTCCAGTTCCAGAACACATCTGATACCCCCAGGGGCTGTCATTCCACTCTGGGGCCTGTCATTCCAGTCCCACAACACTTCTGCTACTTCCAGAGGCTGTCATTCCACTCTGGGGCCTGTCATTCCAGTCCCACAACACTTCTGCTACTTCCAGAGGCTGTCATTCCACTCTGGGGCCTGTCATTCCAGTCCCACAACACTTCTGCTACTTCCAGAGGCTGTCATTCCACTCTGGGGCCTGTCATTCCAGTCCCACAACACTTCTGCTACTTCCAGAGGCTGTCATTCCACTCTGGGGCCTGTCATTCCAGTCCCACAACACTTCTGCTACTTCCAGAGGCTGTCATTCCACTCTGGGGCCTGTCATTCCAGTCCCACAACATTTCTGCTAATCCCAGGGGTGCCATTCCACTCTGGTGCCTGTCATTCCAGTCCCAGAACACTTCTGATACCCCCAGGGGCTGCCATTTTACCCTGGGGCCTGTCATTCCAGTCCCACAACACTTCTGCTACTTCCAGAGGCTGTCATTCCACTCTGGGGTCTTGTCAGGTTCCACAGCCAACCGTGAAGTAATCAGAAAGGTATGTTGAAGAGCTATAGATGCATTAACAAAGGCACTGTTAAGAATGGCATCGCCCCTTCAAGCATAATGGGATATAGGGCATTCGTATGCACCCCCCCTTGTCATAGGCAAATTAGCCATATTCCCGCACGCGGGAGAAGGAGCCCCAGACTGTTAGAGTCAAAGCTGGGAACCGATAGCGCTCCCATGGTTATTCCCTCAGCTCCAGACACTACACCACCTGCACATCTTAGAGATAACAGCGTTACAGCAGAGAAGAAGCACAGAAGGAATGCAGCACTAATTAATACACAGACCAGGGAGAGGGAAGCCAATGGCCTCCTGAACTATCATTGCAGCATAGCTGACAGGCCTGTCATTCCAGGCCCACAACACTTTTGCTACTCCTAGGGTTTCCTGAATGAAAAACAGCATGTGCTTAATTCTCCCACTGAAATTGCTGGGAGAATTACAACAGAATACTAACCATGTTTACTCAGAAGTAACCCTCAATGAGTGTGGAACCCGTGTTTCCTCCCAAGCCCGATCTCCGCTTGAGATCAGGCTGGCAGGGAAATGCCAGCTTCGTGCACTTAAAAGGGAAACGTGGTTGCTCTTAAAGGGGAAACTTCGGCTCCTGCATTTAAAAGGGAAACGCCGGCTCCTTTAAGTGCATGGAATTCACTGCCACAGGAAGTGGTGGCGGCTACAAGCATGGACGGCTTCAAAAGGGAATTAGATAAGCATATGGAGCAGAGGTCCATCAGTGGCCATTAGCCACAAGGTATAGATAGGGACTCTGGGGCAAGTGATGCTCTGTCTTCTTGGTG